AGTGATTGTAGACAACACTAGTAAATTTGATGAATCTGACCCTGTTTTCCGGCTTGATTCATTTACTTGAGAAAGTGTATTGTTAATGCATGCAGTTAGTAGTTTCATCATTAGCACCAGCCCAGGACTCACGCTTACATGGCATTCCTTACTCAAAATCGATGATTACAACGATCTATTCTCGTTGCGTTGCCCGTCGTGGACACTGTCGGACTCACCAAATGCATCGTTCATACCATGCTCATCAGACCAAGCATACGTTTTCCTCTTCCCACACATCTCCTTCCTTCTTCTTGTACTTTTGCCTTCTTCTTCTCCCCCTTTCTTCACCGTTTACCCTTTCCGATCTTCATTCTCTTCTCGCGCGCCAAAGCCTCCGAGCTTTGCTTCTCCCTTCTTCCTACCCTACTGCATTTCCTGTTCTTAGTTTATCAGTTCGTCAATCTCCCCGCCCCTCTTCTCATCCGTTCGGCTACTTTCCTATCTCTTTTAAATTCTTGGTAAATAGCTAATTGATGCCTGGTCAAGGCTATTTCTCCTCTTTCACGCGTACGTACGAACTCACACATTTCTCACATACATATGTACCCATGCTTAACTGATTATCAAGTGTGGCATTGTATATTTTCTTGTTCTAACCGTAGATTTATTCTATTCTAATCATCTTTTCGTTGGAATACGCGTGTAGGTGGTCGTGAGGTAGGAGACACACACTCATAAGTGTAGTAGTGCATGCTCCCGTTCTCTATCGTTAAATTCGTTTGTTTTTGTTTGCTTTGTCGGTCGAAGTACCGTGTAATCAGCCGCGTGATCGGGACTTACTTACCCCTTTTTTTTCCTACGCCAACTCGTTCATACACACTTATTCTCACATACACAAGCATACATACGTAGTCTATATTATCTTATTTTCGTGGCTGGTTCATTTGTTTGTACCCAGCCAATCGACAAAAGCAGCTAAAGGTTCATCATCTGTGGGGTCGAGGTGCACACGTACACAATATACATTTACGAGCATATACACACACACACACCTACGCGCACTCATTTACACACGACTAACGGATAAGTCGTGGCAGCATAGATCTCCATGTCTCATCAGAAGATTCACCCGCCCTTTCTCATCCAATCAATGGAAGCAGCGTGAGGTCGACCACGTGGTTGGAGACTTACCTGTCAACTAATGCGTCGCTCATTCTATCGATGAAAGTAGCATGATGTCGCTGCGACTCATACTCACACACACATACACATACATGCCTACGCACATATACACATGAGAAGACGAATGTTTGTGTATACTCCCATGTTCTTGCAGTAGATTCATTCGATTTAGCTATCCTATCGGTAAGAATATCGCGGATCAAGCCGCGAGATTGTCATACCCTCACACACTCATACACACTTACACACATACACACCCATGTGCACTTGTGTATATTTCCCTGATCCAGCGGTAGATGCATTCGTTTTGCTCATCCTATCACTGAAAACTCTTTCTCATTCTCTCACTCACACACACATACTCACAGTTTCATGCACCCACTCATGCCCACACACTCACACACGCTTATTCACACATACACGTGCACGCTTAGAAGCGCATCTTTCCATATTCAAGGGTAGTAGCTTATATCCCCTTTCATCCTATCATTAGACCTTTTCGTTTCCGCTCCACCCATTAGATCGTAGTGTTATAAGGTCTGTCATAAGATGGGGGACTTATCTCAGCACTATCGCTCGTGTTCCGGTTACTTGGGAAATCGAGAAGTCGTCTCCGACCGTTCACAACGTGATCTTAAAAGGAGGTAAAACTTTGCCTCACACGTTCTCCTTCCTCCTCTCTCGTGCTCTTCTTCTCCTCTCTTCCTTCCCCTCACACTCCTAGTCGTTTGTACGTCCGACGTTCCCCAAGTCAGCCCCGTACATGTACCTTGATCGTGATTACGATCAGATACAACCAAGAAGGCGATGTACTGCGATTTGAGGAGAACAATCGTAGAATACTGCCGTTTTCTGATTCCTCCCTTTCTTCCTTAATTCCTTACTAACCCCCGTTCCTGTTCACAACTCCGTTCTTTCCGTATTTCTCATCCCTTCTCTCTCCCTCGTATCTTTCTTTCCTCACACTCTCGTTTACTCAGTTTCTCTTGGGTTTCATTTGCACTTGCTCACGCTTCCGCTTCACCCTCACGATCGCACTGTCCTGCACTTCATTCTCCGCTCACTTCTCGTAGCTGAGTTCGCGCTAGCCGGCTTACGCTTACAGATTCGTGAGTTAGCGCTTTTCTGCTACCTGCGCTGCTCGTAGCCTCTCCTTCACATTCTTCGACCTTACCTCTGGCAGATACAAAACCTGACTTGGTCCACTGCTCCCCGCTCTCCTTCTCTTCGGATTGAAGAATCTATCCTCCTAATCGGAACAGGTTCAACTCTCGTAACTCCGGGAGTACGAGAAGAAATAGAGATAATGGAACAATAATAATATTAATAATAATAATAATATTACTCACGTTCTTAACCTCCTCGTAGATCTTCACACCATTATCTCTCCCCATTTTGGCGGCAGATACAGATCGCCACCCCGCGAGCCTGATCGGTTGGGGGAGCTTAAGAGTCCTTTAGTTCGTGGCAGGCGCTCGAACGCCATTTTGTTCTTTTCTTCTAATGAACCCATCCTAATATGTAGGTAGTATTCAAATTGTAGTTAAAAGTTTACTCAAAACTTGAAAATAAAGAAAAGAAAGAAAAATCAAACCGTAATAAAGCTATCGACCCAACTGTCCGACCCTCACCAACGGGGAGGAGCCTAAATCCTAACTACCCGTTTACCTCATAGTCCAAAGGTCACTGGTTCAAGCCCCGGCCAATTGAGCCCAGGTGAAAGCGTCGTGGTGCTCTTTGACAAAAAGGAGCTAGTTCGGAGGCCGGGTGGACTGGATTCCCGAGTTTGTCGCTTGATAGTTTATACCTATACCTATTGAGCTAGCTCCCACTTCGGAAAGAAGGGGAGCAACTCTTGTATAAGTACATCAGTGGGGCTCAGCCTAACTAGTGGACCGGGCCCTTTTCTAGTTTTGTGTGTGCGTACGCTTGTTGGTTTGTGTATTCGTCTGAGTGTCTTATCGGCCTGATTGTGTGTGTGTGACCCGCAAGGGTACTTGATCCATCGGTAGGCCCGAAGGGCCGGTACTTACCCGTGGCCGTGACATTGAGGGTTGTGGCGGGGAAAACATCCGAGTGGCGGGGATGAAGGTCTGCCATACTTAAGAGCGACGATTCCAATGGTAAGTAGGTTGGTTTCACACCAAGTAAAGGCGGATGTGTCGGGTACTCGGGGCTGAGCAGAAGAAGACAAAAGTTGGCATTTTTAAAGGTCCAACGTCGGTCGTAGCCGCCTAGTGTGGTGGCAACACGTTTCTATCGGGACTCATATTATTCTTTTAGTCCGCTTTCGAGTTTACTACGACGCGACCTGCAGGTCCTCCCATACTGGTCGGTCCGACGCTTTTGGACTATTTTCCAATTCGTTTTTGACTTATTGTCTGCACCTTTGATTGTTTTGGATCGTGGTTGCCGCATCCCGCGCGACCTTTTCTTGTTTTCTTCCAACCCTCCGGCCCTTGCGGTCGGAGATTTTTAATTTTTACTAAACCTTACCTATTTTCGTATATGTCGTATCACCGCTTATGGTCACCTAGCAACCTCGGCCTCAATGACCGAGAAGTTTGCTTTTCACGACGCAATGCCAAAAATTCTTACTTTTCACTCCAGGCCGTTCCCGGTATGGTAACCGGCGTTGATTCTGCATCGAATGCAAAATCATGAGCAAATACCTTTGTAAGGGTGTTTGCTCTGACACCGCCGTTACACATACAGTAGGCGCATCCTCAGCCCCTTCTCGTGCCTTTTCCGATGAAATCGGACTTCGAAATTCGGTAGGAATCTCCAAGTCGCCTCTGAGTGTCTCTTCATCCAGTGGAATGTTAGGCTCGACCTGCGGTTCCAGCTCCCCCACGAACATGGTTTCGTCCATTGATGTCCTGAGACACGCCTGACTTTCCAACCCGCATGACATAATATCCATTGACTCCCACATGTGGCCGTGCGGGCTGCCAACAATGGCCTTCTCGCCAATCGGGAAGACAGTTGCGCCACTAGTATCACGCCATACAATATCTATCATTGTCACATCTGTGAGTGTTGTGGTGGCACTTAGTCCACCTTCACATCCATCAACATGTCCTTCTGCACTCAGGGACAGTTTCACCTGCTGCAAACTACCGATATCCGTATGTCCTCCTATAGGACTGCCGCTTCCTTTATGTTGACGATAAGGTTGCCCTTTTCTAGTATCTCTTGTTCGTTGGCTGGAACTAGGCGCTTGTGACGTCTTTCCATCTCCACCACTCCCTTACTTATCATATCCTCGCTCACCACCACTTGGGGGTTCAAATCCCTCTCCACTTGCGCCACTGCTGGGGCCTTTTCCTTTTCCCCCTCCAAGCTCATCGCCCTCCCCGATATGCTAGTTGTATCCATATGCTGGGCTTGTTTCTCTATCATAGAACTCTTCTAAGTACTCGAGTCGTTGCAATGCTTTGAGCTCCTTAAAAATCTCTATCCTCTTTGTTTCCACTCTTGACAGAGAAACATTAGGATTCAATCGAGCAAACCGCACCCCAATCTGGTCCTCTGCATGTTTATAAAACTTGGACTGCGGCATACGTCCGTGAGAAGAAAATCGCCATTACCCATCTTGTTTTATGGCCATCACCCATTGTCCTTTGCCCAATGCTGGCTGAAAATATTGTGGATGCCACACGATGTCGTGACCCCACGTATCATCATCCATCGTTGTATAGTCATCTCGACAGACAATAGGACCTGGCAATTTGGCAATGTTCGCGGGGATCTTATCCCCAATCTCATACTCCAGAGCCTCTGAAGGTTGAGGCTGTGCGGTCTGAGAACGAAGGAGACGTTCCAAATTCGCTAATAACTCGGGGGAACTTTCATTACTGAACAGAGTTCTCAAGGCCAATGCTTGATCGGACATCAATCCTCCAGATGAAGACACTCATGCTGCAAAAGCGGTCTTAATGTCAAGAGGTGTAGTCATTCCTTGAGGTGAAGGTAGCGCATGTGCTGACACATCGGTAAGCACGATACCCGAAGTTCCGATTAAAGGACCCCCTGATGACGACCGTGCCACAACCATCTTCTGAGAAGACGAGGTACTTGCCTTTTGCCTTTCACCCGCCAAGACCGCTTGCAAAGTACCATCAACACTTTCTTCTTCTGAGTCATCAGCGTCGAACTGTTCCCCATTTGGAAAGGAAGTAACATAGGTGGCGAGCGTGAAAGCACCGATTTGTTGGTCAAAGTACATGAATTCCAATTGGTCAAGGAATGCAATTTCTTTATCTGAAGAGAGAGCTTTATGATAACCTCGTAGAAGGACCTCAACTTTTCGTCTGTGTGCGCCATATAAGCGGCCTCCTCTATTTTCTGGTCGCTTCTCGAATAAGAACTCCCAGATGTTCGACATATTTTGACCCACTTTGTGTACAAAATCCCGAGCTTCATCATGGCAGGGTGGCGACTTTATGAAATTTGCATAATAATCTCGAGTGCCAACCATCTTGTTCATGAATTGCGCAAGGAAGTCAAACTTCATATCCTCGCCTTCAAATACTACGCAATGGCGATGGGTTTTCAATAGCTCCCACACAACTGCTGCATGACCCTTTCCCAAAAACACAATTACTTCATCCGCCGAACAAAAGTACTCCAACGTCTCTACCATTGTGTTCAGCTCCCTCTCCATTCCTTCGTATAAAACTCTCTTTCGGCTCCATACCTGCCATTTTCCACTTCGTTGGGAGAAAATTCTTCTCCACTACATCCGTCAATGTCTTTGGCTTTCGCTCCTGCCTCGCAAGTCTGGAAATATCAGTTGCTCGAAAACTGGAAGATGGCTCCGCTGGTTGGATATCTTCGAGCAACGGAATTGTATTCCGATGGTAGTCGCTGTCATTGGAATACATAATCACGACCATCCTGTCTGTATCTTCCATCGGTATATTTGCGACCTTGTAGGGATGCGGCATTTGTTGTTATTATCACGTCCACTTGGTGAGTGACATGTGAACATCCCACCTCACCACCCGTCTGAAAAAGGTGAGCTCACAAGTGCGAGGAATGAAGCATAACAAGGTCCAATACTCCCCTCCCACCATTTGCATGAACTTCCAGAGCCCATAAAAAAACGGCTCCATCCACTTGCTCATTTGGGTTGGATGGCACAAGTCAAGCACCACGGTGTGGCATGTCAAATGTCGGATGACCCTGTAGATCTCTTTACTATCCAGAGCATCAGATACATCACTAGGATCCCATTGGAAAGGACAAAAACATATTTGACATCCTGTTTTTGGAAGTGTATGTATTTCGTTTGTCATGACAATCGAATGCTCTCTGATCCTCGCATTGCTGACCTGTGCAACAACTTCTCCACAAAATGCTCGAAGTCTTGGGGACACTTTTCAGCGAGAGTTCTGGTTTTCTCAAAGCCTTGTTCGCCTTTTTCATCTTCGCCTCTCAGTGTTGGCGGGAACGACTTTATCCAAGACAAATCTTTGAAATGCTGCCTCGGATCAACCCATCTCTCATAAGTAAGGCCCTGACCACGGTATTTCTCGAATAAATCAGCCAAGTCCATGAAGAAAGGGTCCTTCCAATCCAATGACTTCTTGGTTGGGTATGAAATGAAGCCGAAGTAATGAAACATTCGCAACATTGCTCTCTCTGTTTTCACGATTTCAACAAATGTCTCCATGGAATGTAACCCAGCATCTTTCGCAGCTTTGCTTTGCTTTGGAACCAAGATGACTGCACCTCCTAGGATATCACGTGATATCTGTAGCCGTTCACGCCTCCCTAACGTGGAAAGTGATTTCCACAATCTGACATCCGGATCGTGCACTAGAACAAGGAAACCAAGTCCTTTTGTACCTGGAATCCAATGCGCAGGAACCCTCTATACACCCTTCACCTCGAAACCGGGACCTGACCTTTGTGCTGTTCCCGCTTCACCTTGTTTGGTGACATGCTTCACAACATCTCTCTCAAAAAGTTGTCCACTTTCCCAAACAACATATACCTGCTCTACCTTTTTAAATACATCGTCTGACGACCTAGCTAAAATCATGTATGAACCAAGGAAGTCGGACCATTCTGAACTCCATTGACCGAGTGACATACTAATGTAATGATCAAGTCCAGTTACTCTAAGAACCTTTCCAGCGAACTTCCTATACTCTGCATTTTTGACATCAGCTCCCTGTCCGTCTTTGGCTTCAGGACAATCGGACGCATTCCACAACCTCCTAATATCCCGAACAACGGTGCTCTGATGAGGCGGAATGTTTCATTTGTCCTTCGCATTTTGGAACGTGCTCAACGTCCCATAATGATCCATTAAGTGGTCTGGATAGTAAACTGGCTGAGCTGTCCAGTAATCCAACCGCAACTCATTTGTCACGACTGGATTTTTGTGAAAACATTTTCTTGTTATTGCCACGTTGCGTTGGTTACTTAGAGAGTACCAGAAGTACTTTTCCAGTAGTTTCTTGTCAAACTCTTCAGGAGTGACCCTTGTTGCTCGCACAATTTTCCCCGACGAGTCTATATGCAATTTGTCATGCAAAGCAACCAACAACAATACTGGTTTCTCATACAGTGGACATGTGCTCAATCCTGTCCTGCCTGTTGTTCTCTCTCTGATGGCCGCTTCACCTGACGACACCATCGCTTCATATATCTCGTCAATATGATTCTGGCCGAGGAATCGCTGATTATATCTAAATTTCTCGTCTGGAATATCCAGAACCTTTTGGAATTCAATAGTGATGAACTGTATCTCGTTCTTCTGAGTGCCATCATTGTTGCAGTTTAAAAAGAAACCTTTACCGAGATGCAAAGTCTCTGGTTCACTTGGCGAGAGTTGTAAGCTTGATGGTCTCGTGACAGTCTTTCCTTTTCCCTTGCCTCCGTACTGCAGTTGTTCAAATGCGGGGAAAACGTTCGTCTTCACCATCGTGCCACCCTTCGCCGCTCTCCTTTTCCGCATCGGTTTTTGTTTGGCAACAACATCCTCGTCGTGAGCACGCTGGACTGCTTCTTCCATCGGCAAAGGCTGCACTTGTCTTTTTTGCACTGGCTCTTTCCTGCTCCTTTTCTGCTCGAGACTTTTTCTCCTCTTCTGCCTCGCTTTCCTTTTTCTCTCCTCAATGTCCCCGACAACTGCAGGGGCTGAAGGAGTTCTTGCTTTCGCAGGGCGGGCTTTCCCACTCCTTTTCTGTTGCGGCTCCTCCTCGCGCGGTTCATCATAGTGTTCGACACGATCGTCAGATTGCTCGTAATCGCTATTGTCCCCGTGGCCAACGTGAAGCTCCCCAGGATCGTGTGCAAGCTGTGCTTCCCTCTCGCTGATAGTGTTTTCACTATCCTCTTCTTCCTCTCCACAAGTGTCCCTACTTCGCCCCTGCGAGCCTTCCTCATCCTCTTCTCTCGGTGTACTGTCTCCACTGCTCCCTTCCCCCTGATGTTCGAAATATGTGGGGCCGTGGGCTCTTGAAGGCGTTCGACATCGGAACCACACGTGGTCGAGGAATGCATGACACCACACAAATAGTTGAGCGGCTCTTTCCCTCCTACAGGTCAAATTTTCTTCGGCGTTGGCGGCACCACCGGTCCTTGAATAAGGCCCTTGCCAGAGATGCGTCCTGGTTTCGGGACAACCGGCGTAGAGACTGACGGACGAATTGACAAGGCACCTATAGAAGGTCGCTCGTGTGCTCTGGATGACTGTCCTAGTGCGGCCGTTGGCATAACACTTTTCGGTTCCGTAATGATGTTATCTTTTGAGCCACGACCTCCTGACCTGGAACCTTATTCTTGTCGAAGAAGTCGAAAACCATAGGTAGATCAGGCAGTCTCAGTTCCTGACTTGCATCTGGATTGAAGAGATCCATGAGCGATTTACCATATCCTTTATGGTTGGCCCACCTGACAGCAACACGTTTCACACCTGCGACCCTCTCGCTTTTGCCGTTGAGGAGCATAGTCATCTCGAAAGTTGCAAAAGGACTTTGCTTGCCTGACCAAGACACTATACTGCCTATTGGTCTGATTTGTTCCTAAAGACGACATACAAAAGCAAATCACTACCAACCTCCCCAACATCGCCTACCCAGTCCAACAACCATAATTTTTCTTTGTGGTCAACGACGGGCACGGCCTCAGACGGCCCATGGACAAACTTCTCATCAGAGCCTCCATGCCCCATTGTCTCTTGTGCATACCTCTACCAACGACCACCAGAACCTTGACCACGACCACCAGACTCTTGACCACGACCACCAGACCCTTGACTGCGACCACGAGACCCTTCACCATGCCCCGGTGTCCCGGCAGACAATGCGACCTTCCCGACTTGATCAGATCCCCTAAACCGACTCGTGGGACCTGAAACTAGTGTACCTCGATGCACAGGCGTCGCAGAGGTTGATGACCAGCGCTGCAAAGTCGCCTTAGACCCAGGCGTCTCTTCTTTCTTGACCCCAGCGACCGGGGTTCCCTTCGATTTTTGGGCATGTGCTCAAAACTCGCGGAGCTCCTGGTCCTTGACCTTTTCCCTTGATGTGTATCCGCAACATCCATTTTTGCAGAGTCCCTTGAGCTAGTAATTGCCAAGCTGCCAAGGGAAATATCGACCGACATTACAAACGCAACAAATTAGAAAAACAGTTCCCGGGTCGTCGAGGTGGACACGATAAAACCCCTTCAGACGATGCTTCTTATCAGTGTGTTATCGTGTCCTACACGACCACCCAGACTGCGGTACCAACCCTCCCCCAGAGTTGTCCCGCCGAACATGACAACAACCGTCCGAAGAGCATCGTCGCCTTCCACCCGCCCGGTACTCGCCTGGCGTCCAGGATTGTCGTGTCGAACACAATTACGGGACTCGGGCGCATTCGGGGCGGCCGAAGAAAAACGTTGAGGACACGGGTTTCTTTTGCTTTACGATAGTGTGCAGTCTCGTCAGAAGGGGGATGTTGTGGTTAGCGATTTCTCCTGCTTTTCACAGGTGTGCAGTCTATAATACCGACGGCCCATCATCATCCCCCGCCCACCGAGAACAACCTTACAAGAAGCACCGTCGTGTTCGATTTGACGTTCGTCGCTGCTTGTCGTGTTCAACACGACGAATGTCGTTTAGGAGGATCACTTAGTCTGGTTGTCGAGTTGAACACGTCATTCAGGAGGATGACTTAGTTCCTTCCAATGATTCTTCTTAGGATGATGACTTAGTTTTCGACAACACCCCACTCTGGACAGTGGTGCCCTCCCGCCCTGCGGGGTTGTCGTGTCGAACACGACAACACCCTCCTCAAAAGGATTTGACATCAGTGTCGTGTCGAATAACAACAGTCGCCTGGAAGAAACAACTCGTACATCGAAAAGGGCACATGCAGGGCAGAAATCGGAACACAAGGCGTTTTTCCATTACATGGTTTTAACTTTTCATACACACAACACAACATGCATAGTTGAACCAACCCTTACAACTTCAAGCGAGGTATGTCAAATCCACAGTATAAGCAGAAAGACTCAATGGACAACATTCATGAGTTCGCAGGCAATCGAAATGCATGATGAGGACAAAATTCAGAGATGGTGCACTCCTCGCTTAACGCAAAGTTTGGAGATGAAGTAGTCTGAACAAACGTAAACGTGGCAATGACGTTATGTTCATGATACCAGAAAAAACTGGGGTTTCAAGAGTGGACCGATTGTAGTGCAAAACAGAGCGCCCTCAAAATATTAACAATGGAAGCGTCGGACGACTAGACGAACCGAAGAACTGATAGTCTAGATAATGCCAGCCACTCACGAAAGGAACGACAAATTACGCAAAACATATACCGACGACGGGGAACTGTCTCGCTATTGCAACCATCCAATATCCTAAATGCCGATCCAAAGGTCAGATATTGTGGTTCCTCGGCGGTAGCCGTCTCCGCAAACACTGAAATGTATTTCATGGGGACGAAGCCGGAATTTCCAAGGAGAGAAGTGCCTATAGCATCCCTTCTAGAAACCACTTTTGTTTTACCTCGCGCCATGCGCCGACGTCGTCCACCTTGCTACCGACCACGATATCCAATTTCCCATCGACTTCTCTTTGAACTAAACTCATATCTCTCTCGGACATAGACAACTCATTCATGGACACAAACATGACAGCGTCAGTCAAGTTCCTAATCCCGTTGGAACACGCAATGCAGAGGACCCTGCAAAAGACAAAGCAATCCAGACGCAATCTTACACAGCAATATGACACTGCTCGAGGCGACAGACCAGGAGATCGCAAAGGATACTGATCGAGGAACCGTGAATGTCGCGCACAGTCGAGCAACTTCTGCTTCATCGCACGACACCATGTGTGTGGCGAGGCAGTCACGTATTTGCAGTCAAGAACACCGTAAAGGCGGTTTAATTTCAACTGCTTACACAACTGACGCAAATGCACTGGACCTAGCACATCAGATGGTATAGGAATATAACTTCCGAATTCCAGCATGTTGGCGAACTTATAGTCGTCTGCCCACGGGCACTTCGTGATCATATTATCCCACTGATACTCCCTCCAGGAGTCCAGATGTTTGTCGATAAACAAGACGACCGTCATCCAAGGATCGAACTCGAAGTCCGGCATGCTAGCGTCGTCGACGGTTGTGTGCTCTCGACATCAGCTAGGGGGGAAAGGGTGTGCCTTTCGCTCACGCCAAATAGCAGGGGTCATCCAGTGAGAGATGTCCATTGTGACTGCGAAGCGCCTTGCACGGCAGAAGTGCAACAATCAACAAAAGTACACAACCGATGAAGAAGAGAACAATTGTTTTTGTCTCAACAATGCACACAAACAAGCTCACACGACATTGCACTGCACATGCCGACCATGCAGACAGTTGACGACTTCCTACACACGACATCCATTGCGTAGGGCTGAAATGTTACGGGGATGAATCTGGTATCAACCCAAGGCACCACAGTCACAGGTAATGAACCACTTGTACCTACATGGCTCTATTCGATCATGTCGCCGGTTGTCGTGTTCAACACGACGGTCGTCGCTCTACGACAGTAACCGGTAACGAACCACTTGGTTCAAAAGGCCGCGGGGTATGTGGACGGCGGCGGTTGTCGGGTTCAACACGACGACCGTCACTCAACTGCTCATGCAAACACGATGTTGGCGGGGATTGTCGTGCTTAACACGATGACCAAAGTAAGTGTTGTACTAGCCCTGAGGTGTTATCTGCCCGTGGGCATTACACTTGTGCGTGGCTGTCGTGGGAATTACACTGTAGTGCATGGGCACTCATCTTCGAGTGCGATGATGACTTATGGAGACCGTTGTCTCCGTCATGGTCGTCGTGTCGAACATGACAACCACCGCCAGTGCAGCCTCATCGTTTCGCAGCCCCACGACAACGTATCCGCCTGAGTCACGCCCACGACTACATAACACGTCGGGGCCGGATCATTGTGTCGAACTCGAGAACCACAGCGGCTTGCCTGGGGCATGAAACGTTGGGGCTGGTTGTCGTGCTGAACGCGACAACCAACGCTAGTGCAGCACTTACACTGTATGTCGTGTTGAACACGATAACCAACGCCAGTGCAGCAATGACGCCCGTCAACAAACGTCTGATTCCCAAGACTAGCCGCCGCACACGATGTTCCGGCGCTGAAGTATTGTCTATGCCTGAAAGGTGACAACGACCAAACAACACCGTGGGACTCGATCGTCGTGTTGGACACGACAACCACAACTGCTTGCACTGGCATCAAACGTCTGTGCTCGGTTGTCAAGTTGAACACGAAAACCAATGCCAATGCAGTACTGGCGCTCGCCCACCGACGCCTAATGCCATCGGCTAGCCGTCGTGGTTGTCGTTTTCGACACGATCGTCATGTCGAACACAACAACCACAACGGCTCGCGCTGGCGTCAGACGTCTGTGGGCGGTTGTCGTGTTGAGCAGTACAAACAGCGCCAATGCAATACTGGCACTCGCCCACAGACGTCTGATGCCAACGACTAGCCGTCGTGGTTGTCGTGCTCGACACAACGATCCGACCTTGAATTGTTGTCTAGCCGTCAACATTAAACATCTATTGCCAGACGATCGTCGTGTTCAACACGACCGTGTTGAACACGATAACCACCACCACCGCCACAACACCTCGGGGCTTGATCGTCACGTAGAAAATGACAACCAAAGCGGCTTTCGTTGACCTTGACACATTCGCTGCAGGTTGTCGTGTTGAACATGACAGCAACCAACACCAGTGACTGTACTGGCGCTGGTTATCGTGTCCAACACGACAACCGCCCACAGACATCGCTTGCCAGCGACTATCCGCCGTGATTGTCGTGTTCGACACGATGATCCAGCCCTGAGACCATCGTGTTCGACACAATGGTCAGGGCATTTTCATGTTCACTACAACTCGAATAATCCGCTTCCTCACTTGTTTATCGTGTTCGACACAAGAACTACTGGGCCAAAAGTGCCACGTGGCAATCCTTGGTTGCAAATCGGGGATTGGGAAAGATCCTCACCGTTTGTCCTCTGTCCTCCTGACCACGACACGGTCGCGTGTTCAGCCTCTCCCTTCAGTTTCGATGGTCCACTCCAAACGTGCTCAACGCCTTCGAACTGCACCTCGATGTCTCGGCTCCGTGTTGGATGTCGTGCGATGAATGACTCCACTCCTGGTGATATGGGCTGACGTTCAATTGTATTCTGCAACAAGACTAGAGAGTGATGGCATGAGAAGAAACTGGAGGAGGCAGAATGTAGTCCGATGTCTGGATGCGATAGTGACGATGTGCGTTGAGAGCCTGCTGTCTTCAGCGACGCGACAAGAGACTGAAGCAATAATGCCGGAGGAGGCGGCCCACTACTGCTTATATACTGGGGCGCCTGAACGGTCCCTCTAAGCGACAACCGTCCGATTGAGTCGATCCGACGGCCGATGGCCTTGTGGCGGACTGCTGGGACGGTCGGTTGCTTTTCGCTGGCCTCCGCAGCGTTGCTAATTTGTGCTGTGGCCAGGCGCTGTGTGGCAGTTAAAATGAAATGGCAAAACGGAGGAGAGGTCCCACTCCTGGTTATATACTGCGGAGCCTGTCTCTCCCCGCGAACCATCGGCCATCCGTTGGATTCAATCCGACGGTGCTGATGGACCTGTGCCGCGAAGGGTTTTTGCCGATGCCTTGTCCGTTCATAACACCTTCCGCTCGAGCACATGTCTCATTTCGCATTCTCCATCGGCGCCGATCGGGTGTGCTGCAGCGATCGCTTTCGCGTTCTTCATCTTCGTCGAAGGGGTGTGTCGCAGCGAGCGGTCGTCCATGACACGACTCGTTGTTGGCGGC